GTATTACGTGTAAAGTATAAAGTGTAAAGTATTAAGTGTAAAGTATTGTGTTAAGTATTAAGTGTAAATTATTAAGTGTTAAATATTACGCGTTAAGTATTAAGTGTAAAGTATTAAGTGTAAAGACCCATTACCAACAAAGAGTTCTATTAAATTCAAAGCTTTAAAGGGGGAACTGTGAAATATTAAAACCCGAAGTGTCTGCCAAACTCTGCAATGGCGCCCAGAAGATACACCACTGTGACTTTGTTCTGCCTTGCTTTTGCTGTCTTGTGCCTCTACGCCAACTTCCAGCTGACGAATAACAGTAAGTGGTTGGAATTGGCGTTGTTTTTTTCTTTGGTTTCATTATTCGTTTAGGTTTCTTTCGGTTTTGGATCTGTCTCTCTCTTTTCTGTCTCTCTCTCTCTCTGTCTTTGTGTGTGTGTGTGTGTGTGTGTGTGTGTGTGTGTGTGTGTGTGTGTGTGTGTGTGTGTGTGTGTGTGTGTGTGTGTGTGTGTTGTGTGTGTATGTGTGTGTGGTATATATATATATATATATATATATATATATATATATATATATATATATATATAGAGAGAGAGAGAGAGAGAGAGAGAGAGAGAGAGAGAGAGAGAGAGAGAGAGATGTATATATATTCATGTATATATTTCTGGGCATCATTTTTCCTAGTTTCAACAAACACGCACATATACACATGTGCTAACTGAAATTATGTGAATATTGGTTTGATAATTAGATTCATTGATATGCAAAATGTGGCGGTTCTAATTACTCCATGCATTATAACTGATTATTGATTTCGGAGCAAGAAATGTCGAATACGCAAGTTCTATTTTCAATACATACATACAAACACACACTCAAACACACACAAAAAACACACACGAGCACACAAACGCACACACACAGCGAGAAAGAGAAAAAAAACACAAACAAAAAAAAACACACACGCATACATACAGCGAGAAAGAGAGGGATTGGTGAAAGAAAGAGAGAGAGAATTTCAGAATTGAAAATCTATATTTTACAGTACCATATTGTTATTCAAAAAATAGTTCTAAAATGGTCAACACACTGAAATATGCAGAAGCTAAAATACCTTTTCCTTTTATTTGATGTTGTGTACAGTGTAATTCACATTGTATCATATACTGCATGTTTTATATATAATTCTTTCGTGGATATTGCACTGTAATAAAAAAGGGAAAAAAGCATGCTGACTGACAGACACATTCATGGTGTATTTATATAGGCCTTTCAGTACAATACTTTACCCTGAGCGACAAAATCATTGAGGAGTAGGAGGAGGGGAAGGAGAAGGAGGTAGGGGAGGAAGGAGAAGGAGGAGGGGAGGAGGAGAAGGAGGTAGGGGAGGAGGAGGAGGAGGAAGAGGGGAAGGAGGTAGGGAGAGGAGGAGAAGGAGGTGGGGGAGGAGTTAAAGGGCGTATATTCACTGACTACCATTTTCAGATTCATAAAATCGTACATATGGAAATGAGTGAGCCTATATTTTAATTCAGTGATTTTTTTTTTTTTTTTTTTTTTTTTTTTTTTTTTTGATAGCGCTTCAGAGTGGAAATGTTACCCAAGTTGTTCACTATTTTAGAGGCAATGTATATATAGAGGAGAAAATATTAAGCTTTATAAAGATTTCAGGGTAGATATATTTATTCAAACGTTTATTGTAGATGATGCTTGAAAAGGTATGAATGAGACTGGATATCTTCACAATACAAGAGATGTATTTGACCGGTTTCGATTACGTCTTCATCAGAAATACGTTATCGAAACCGGTCAAATACATCTCTTGTATTGGGAAGATATCCAATCTCATTCATACCTTTTCTACATTTGTCAACATGGATACGTTTCATGAAGCTTGAGTTTAAACGTATAGAACTTTTCTGGGTTGACATTTAATAGTCGTTAGCGCGGATTGGCAACACTGTTCAAACTCTAACGGTCGTTTTAAGCAGCGAATGGCGCAGTTCTTGGCCTCAGAACAAGAATGATTGAACGAGCGAACACCTACTTAAAACTCCTCCCACCTTTCCTTCCTCCCTCTCATCACCCCCTCTTTTTCTTTTTCATCTTTCCTACCTCTTATTCTTATTCCTTTCTCCTTGCTTCTCTTCTTCCTCTCACTCCCTCCTCCTTTCCCTTTCTCTCTCTCTCCCTCCTCCTCCCCTTCTCTCCCTCCCTCCCTCCCTCCCCCACCAACCCCTCCCTCCTCCTTTTCCCCCTCTCTCTCCTCTCCTCCCTCTCCACACCCTCCTCTCTTTTCCCTCCCTCCCACCCTCCCTCCTCCTTCCCCCTTTCTCTCTCTTCTCCCTCCCTTCCCACCAACCCTCCTTCATCTTGACAAGTAAAGGTAGAATTATAGTTATGAAATAGAGGAAATTTGAGGACACGGCTAGTGAGGAGGGAAGCAAGAATCAGAAGGGTAGACATCATGAAGAAAATTCGAAGTAGATATAAAAGGAAAAAAAGGTTGAAAGACAGAAACAAACCCAGAAGAAAACTCCTTGGTGGAAGAGAAAAGGAAATTGTCAAGAGGCAATGGTTCAAACAGACAGAGAGAGGAAGAGATGGAGAGAGAGAGAGAAGAGAGAGAGAGGAGAGAGAGAAGAGAGAGATTCATTTGTACAAAAGAGAATAGACAAGAAACTTTATAGGCCTATAGTTTATAAGAATCTTTTTATGCTTCTCTCCATCTCCCTCTCCCCTCCCTCTCCCTCTCGCTTCTCTCTCTCTCCCTTTCCTTCCCCTTCTGTCTCTCCTCCCCTCCTCTCCCTCCGCTTTCTCTCTCTCTCCCTTTCCTTCCCCTTCTCTCTCTCTCTCCCTTCTTCTCTCTCTTCCTTCCCCCTTCTCTCTCTCCCTCTCCCTCCCCTTCTCTCATTCTCTCCTTTCGATATCCTTGCTTCAGTGTTGCAGAAAATGAATATATACTGAGTAGAATCTTACCAAACTTCCAAACAGGAGATATATTGCTGGTTATGTCATGGATGAAGTAAATAAGAAGTATTAGATTACAATGACATTTGAAATGGAAAAAATAAAAGGGAGAGTATGCACTTGAGCCATCAGCTGAACATCCAAACGTATGATCGAATTACATAAATGACTTTCATTAGAGAAACCGTGTATTTATAATTTGTAGTAAACAAAGAAACGGATTCCCAACACAAAACAATGACCAGTGACGTCAGCAAAACGTAGTGTCTGCTGTATGAAAGATGCCTGAAGACTTGGCGAAAGCTTCTGTGTGTGGAGATAAAAGCTTATGTGATATAATATTACAGATAAATACTTTAGAAGGAATTTCAGCAGTATGTTACACCTGTTTATATTGTTGCATGTCAAGAATGTCCCGAGAATGAAGAAATAAATCCATCCAACGATTAAGAATAAGCTGCTGAATGATTATACAAAATAATTAACACAAAACAAAATAATTAAACATTTCCCATTTAAAAGATTAGGCTGAACGAACAGAATAAAAAAAATACCAAAATCTCAGCAGGTAAATGATTAAGCTTAGCTTCAGTTAAAAGATTCTTGAAATGTTTTATTACTGCTTTGTATTTTCTAAAATATACAGTTTGTTAATATAAAAGGAATATGATTTTCTGCAGAAGTAGCGCAGTGTCCTTCTTTTAGGAATATATATTTTACCAACTGAGTCTGGCTTCTGAAACTAAAAAAAAGCTCTGTAATCTACCCACGCCTACCCTGGTGTGCATGTATAGGGATGCATAGACATGATAAACACACAATATAAACGCAGCCTTTAGCAACAAATGCGAATATTTCCAGGAATGGAACTCCCGCCGCCGGTGAGGGAATTCCTGCAGGACCAGAACCTCCTGCAGGGCGACACTCTACAGGGCTTCATGCCGACCCAGCGCGGAGGAGTGGAGAGCCTCCAGGCGCTCCTCGAGGGCGTGAACCACGACGGCGGCGCTGACGAAGAACAGGTCGAAAAGGAACTGAAGGAACTGGACCTCGAAGGCGAAGAGATGCCGCCGCTGCCCTTGGAGGAGGACCTCGCGGAAGCCGATGCCGAAGGAGCTGGCGTAGAGCCGACGGCCAGGAACGTCACGGCCCGCGACGCTCGGCTGCTCATCGTCAGCGCCGTTCCGCCGTTCCGGGCGCGCGTCACGTCGTCCCTCGTCAAAAGGTGAGTTAGAGAAATTTTTTTCCAAGAACGGTGTGTCTGCCGACCGCACCAACTGATCGGCATAGTGATATCAATCATAATAATGAAAGAGGGAGAGAGAGAAAGAGAGAGGGGAGGCGAGAGAGAGAGAGGAGAGAGAGAGAGGGGGGGCGAGAGAGAGGAGAGAGAGAGAAGAGACAGAGGAAGAGAGTGGGGGGGGGGGTGAAGAGGAGAAAGAGAGATAGGGGGGGGCGAGGCATCTCCACAACGGTGTCCACACAGAGCAACAATAAATCTGAAAACAAATTATCCCCGAAAGCCAAAGAGATTCACTCAAAACACCAATCAAAAAAAAGAATCACACCTTAGACTCCGCATTCCCAAACCAACATCAAAACCAACATTCCCAAATCAACATCAAAATCTCTGCCTGCACCTTCCCGCCCCAACAACCTAGCCCTTAACCTCCACATTCCCGAATCACGCATACACCAAGCATACCCTTCCCCCGAATCACCAGCATACCCTTCCCCCGAATTACCCTTCCCCCGAATCACCAGCATACCCTTCCCCCGAATCACCAGCATACCCTTCCCCCGAATCACCAGCATACCCTTCCCCTCAAGCATGGCGATCGCAACGGCTTCCGAGTGCTGATGCCCCTCCTCAAGATGCAGCCGAAGATGGGTACGTACCAGCGAGATGCCCTCACCAAGTACATCACGAACGCGGCAGAACAAGAACCGGTGGCCTTCGTTAGGGACATGTACTTCTTCGATGTGACCAGGTACGTGTGGGGTGGGGGGGGGGGGGGGTGGGGGGAAGGTGAGGAGGGAGA